CTAGTCACAGACCAGCAGCCCTTTGTGCTAGGTGCTGTACAAACAAAGACCAAAAAGATGGTCCCTGCCATAAGGGGCTTACAATGCAAGTATAAGACAAGACACACCAGACAGGCAGGGGAGCACAAAAGTAACTAAAAAGACAATATTGATCAGCATGATAGACAGTGGTCTCTAAACACTAGCAGCCTAACGGCTAGCAAGATTTTTATAGGCATAAAGACTAACCCCCTAGAATAGCCCATCAATTCATGTATGGCAGAAAAGGCGTAAAAATGGTTTATCTTACCTTCATTCTGGTAACATGTAGTTATTTTGAAGAGGCCATTTAAAATGTTTCCATAATTGAATAATACTTTGAGTTCCTTACATAGAAGGCACTTGAAATCCAAAGTACTTCCCAGACATTAATGAATTAAGTCTCACAACCCTCTTATGAGGTAGGAAATGACCATTATACCCATTTTTCCAGATAGGGAAAAACTAAAGATACAGGATATGGCTACACTGCAATTAGACACCCGCGGCTGGCCTATGCCATCTGACTCAGGCTCAGGGGCTGTTTAATTGCAATGGAGCCCAAGCTCTGGGACCCCACCTTGCAGGGTACTAGAGCCTGGGCTCCAGCCAAAGCCCGAACGTCTACACCGTAGTTAAACAGACCCTCAGCTCGAGCCTTGTCAGCCTGAGTCAGTTAGTATGGGCCAGCCACGGGTTTTTAATTGCAGTGTAGACATACCCACAGATAGAAGTGATTTGCCCAAGACCCAGCGAATACTAGCAACGGTAGTACAGACCAGACGCTGGTATTTTTCCCTGCTCTGCCCAGATCTTGGGCAAGTCAGGTTGGCTTGACCTGCTCTTATTAGGGTTAGATGACATGGTAAAGGCCTCAGCAACTGATTCGTAATAGTGCTCTAGCAAATGCTATTCTATTCAGGTTCTTATACTTTGCCCATCACAGTCATATCTGCGCATGCTACAGAAACCCTGGCACAGACCCAGTTCTTTCTGTCTGCTTGCCTTACACTGACCTAGCCTCCACTCTGATGGGAGATTAAGTGCACATTCACAGAGAAATTCTTGGGATCCCTCTATCCTCCGGCATCATTGTTGGCCTTTTGGATGAAAAAATGAGGTAATGTGTCTACAGCACTAACCTCTACAGTTGCATGGGTGCTACAGCAAGGGTCGGAGATTTTCAGGAAATGGACAATGTACACAAGGCTTCAGACATCAATCACCATAGCAAAGCAACAGAGAGAGATCTATGGGCAGCACCACACTAACTTTTTATCAGAAGCATTTTACAATTGTTTTAACACGGTTCAGGCTAACTTAACAACATGGGTTGACCAGCCAGCATGAATGGAACCACACCAAGTCTAAGCAGAGTTGTAAACACAATTACATTTACACTGCCTTAGGTTCTGTGTCTTCTGAGCCTCCAAGATACATCTACGCTATGTGAGGAAACTACTGCAGAGACAATCATTATATGGAAAGAAGGATACTCACCTGGTTCCTGGTCTTCTCTATTCTATCCAGGTTCTTGTGCAGCCCTCATTACTTTAGTACTCAAACACCTTCCAGTCATGTATTAAGTGATGAGACTAACATTTGTCACATGTGGCTCTCTTTCTCCCTCCCTCTCCCCAGGAGGAAATGGTATGTTTTTTAAAACTTTATTATAATGTACACTGTGCTATGTATTGGTATTAGTAGAGGCAAGGTTGAACAATTGTCCCTTGTATTTGGAAGAAAAAGTGGTGAGGTTTGTGGGGGTCCTGTTTATTGCTTCCATAGATTCAAATAACTGGGACTGCAATTAGGGTTGCTGACTTTGTAATAACTAAAAACTGGGCACTCCAGTAGGAGTGCCGGAAGCCCCTCACCTCACATCCCCTTGGAAGTGGAATCTGAACACTGCACAAGGACTGCACTAGCTTTTGACACAGACCTCTCCTTGCCTCAATCGTCTGAATAGAAGCCAACTGTACAAGCTGGGGAAACCCTCGAAAATCCCAGCAGGTGAGCTCAACCACACACAGGAGGCCTGGTGTTGCTGAGCTGATTTCTCTTAAGGGAAGGACATTTCAAAAGTGTTCCTGTAACTGGCTCAGACCAACTAGCCCCATCACTTCCTTGCAAGTTTACACAAGCAATTTGCTGAAACCCATGACCACACAGCAGCTCAGCAATGGTGCACTTGGCAGCATTAACATGCTGAAGGTGCTCCAGGCTGTCAGCACGTCCAGGGGTCAAGCTTTTTGCTAGCAGTTTCCCACAGTGAGAAGCCTCCTAAGAGTATACATACACATGGACTCTATAGGAGACCAGTTGGCCATACTGTGGCTGTGTTCCAGAAGTCCCTGTAAACCACAACCCCTTTCCTTGAGTCAGCTCCTCCATTCCCCCTCCTCCTGCCAATGAGGCAACGGACTAGGTATTTTTGGAAATGTTGATTCCATTCATATCAATACTTGGACAGGTAACCTAGCCCAATCTTAACCAGACCCGCAAGGTATGATGGCATAGATTCACACAGACAGTGCACAGGCTGAGAGAAATTGCAACTGCCTCAAAGATCAGCTGGCAGTTTCCTGAAAGATCAGCTCAAATCCACAGCACTTAGTTAAAATCCAAAATCCAAACAGTACAAGGAAACCACAAAAGAAAAAGAAAAAGATTTTCCTAGCACATCAAAAAAATTTCCACTTCATTCAAACTTCAGAAGCTAGACTGGACCTAAATTCAAACAAGCTGAGAGGTGTCAGCAAAAGAGTGTGTTCAAAAAGAATTAAAATCAGATTATGCATTTCCCTCTTGTATTCACTAAGACAGCCTGCGGCTCCCCTCCACCAAGTATGCTCTTGGTCAGATCATGGAGGTGTTTCACAGTGCTGTGTAAGCATCCTTCTACCAAACAGACTAAACTGGACTAGTTGCCCTCCAGATTTCTGAAACTCTTGAAAGTACAAAGCTGACACTTAGAAGTGGCTGGATAGGACTTGTATTTATAAATGCCAAGATAATGCTAATCAAATCTCTCGGGCGTTAGACGATTGTTTACAGGGGTCAGGAAGCAACGTCCCCTAGCCTCTGCTATATGTGGTATTGCACAACTACCCAAGTGAATTATCTGCGGTGGAGGTGTCACTTTTTCTGAAGTATTAGGTGTTGGCCACTGACACACAGAATGCTAAACTTGAAGGAGCAACTGTCTGATCAGATACCACAACTCGTTTGTTCTTATATGCGATTGGGTTGGAAGGTTGTGCTTGGATTAGAAGGCTACAAAACCAGATGCAGCCACGCCAATGTCTTACATCTTAACCTACCATCCATGCCACCCACTCCATCACACTGACTAGGATAATACACACCATGAAGCTACCAAGTGGAACCCTGGGAGCAGTAATCCCTACTTCTCTGGATGTGCATATCCTGATGAAAATCATTGGCCACTTTGCTCACTGTATTTTGTCCCTTTAAATCTCTATCAATTTCAACTCGTTGTTGTGTAGTTTATACTTTGCTTCCAGAATTGAGCATTTGAACTTAATGGGAACAGTGCAAGTTCTTCCCTGGGCTCAGGGACCATTTACTTCCCTTACTAAATATCCTGCTACTAACTTCTTTCCTTTTTTTTTTTTGAGGTAGGGTTTTGTTTTTTTAAAGTCTGTACTTCTGCTCTTTAACCAACAGCAACTTTCCCTACTTAAGAAAAAGAAAGACACCTTAGATTTGTTCCCCCTTGTTTTTAAGTTTAATCCTCATCCTAGCAAACTCACCTCGGGTCAAAAAGGATTATCACATACTGGGTCCTGTGGCTTCTATGCGTTGCTCCTTTGTATTAAGTAATGACAAAAAATACAATGTACTCTGTTTTACAACAGCTACATGTGGCCATCTGGCGCCTGGTAATACACGACCCTCAGTTGGGCAGAGTTTAGATGCCCCTGGGATAAAGGTTCGCAGACATAAAACCCAGTTGTGTGAAGCTAGAATAGGGTGTGGTAGATGTATTAGTTCTCCACACCCATGTGGTACCTTTCCACCCAGACTCACTGCAGAGATCAAGGGCTATTGGACCTCTAGCCCAGGTCCTGAATGAAAGGAAGCGATTGCCAAAGATGTGTAAACTGACGGAAACTCCCTTATCTGCAGCTTCACAAACAACCTCTAAAACAGAGTTAGGAAAGAGTTCAAAAAGTCACAGCACACGAGCAAACCAGCTGCCAGAGTTGCTCTCAGTTGCTAGAACACAGTAGGGATTTAAATACCGTTTAAAAAGTTAACAGTTTAAACTAAATATGTTTAATCGTTTAAACGGTTAACTGTTAAGCAGCTGGGGCCACTCCGACCGGGCGGTGCTGCTCCGGCCATGTGCCGCAGCTGGGCCCGCTCTGGCTAGGTGGCGCTGTTCTGACTGGTGCGGGGCCGCTGGGCCGGCCCCCAGCATGGGGCCAGCGGGCGCCCAGCACGGGGCCCAGGGGTTAACAGTTAAGCCGGTTAACCGGTAAGACTATGCTTTTACATCCCTAGAACACAGCCAGTTTCTAGCAGGATGGAGAAGATCCCAGATGGGAGTAAATTGGCCTCTCTGCTAGGACTGCCAATTGTGGTTGGGTGGAATTTCAATCAGATGCAGGCTTACTCCCAGAAAGTTTCTAGAACTGGGATCAACACCTTAATTCAGAAATCAAGATTTGCTCTAGCCTGACAAAACACTGCCAGGAAAACCTTTATGAAACTCAAACAGGCAGCCGCTGACTTGGCCCCTCCATAAACAGCTTCCCAGGGCCAAGGTCACTGATCAAAACACTGGTTCCCTCATATTCCTACAGGAAGAGGGGCTCAGCCAAGCCAGTTATCTGAGGAACCAGACCCTTCCTGCTACATCAGCATGCAGCTCCTCCACAAGTGCCAGGTCAAGCACACAGAATATATTACTATCCCCAGACTCTCATTGAAATACCGTCGGAAGGACACATCACCATTCAAGCGCAGCTTCTCCCAGGGAGCAATGAGCACCAGGCCAGCATCATACCCTCGAGGCGTAGGAGACTCCCAGGATTCCAAAGTGCCAGTTCTGGCAGCCAGAAATGCCCATTCCATGGCACACAAGACCAGGACATAAGCCGGAGCCTGTTCGCCGCCACACATTAAGATTGTCTCAAAAGAAACAGGCAGTTCTAAGCTGTTTCCAAGAATCACAGAAGCATCTATTTACAGGATCATAAATATCACTGAAAGACCATTCCTGAGTGCAAGGATTGTTAAGTGGAACTGAGGACTTTCCAGCCAGAGGACTAGATGCAAGCTAAATAAAAGAAGGTGGAAGGGGTGTTAGCAGCTACAGGAAAAGCACTGAAATAGGACATTTTGCATGTCAAAAACAGGGCTGCGAGATGCTTGAGATCTCAGCATGCTCCCCACATTCCAAGCTGCTCTCTCCACCCCAAATATTGGCATCAGCCTGAACTAATTGGTGTCTGCCCTCATAGCTGCTGCAAAAGAAAAGGGATCCCACTATCCTGTCTACTAAGATGGGGAGCCAAGCTCTTCCGTCCCCTTACTCTCCTTTCCTAGCAAGCTTTATTGCCTGGACCTCTGTTCTTTACTGTGGGCAATTCCCTCCCACATCTGCCTGAAAAACAGACAAGGCATGGAGCAGAGCACCAACCACAGTAGCACTAGCTAGAGGTGTACCAGGCAGCTTGGAGAATGGGGCTGGTGCTCTACTCCCCACACTGCTGAAGACCAGAAAAAACTCGGAGGACAGCTCCAACCTGCAAGATCCAGCTGTGGAGAAGCAGCATACAGCCACCGTTGGGCTGTGCTCCAATTGCCCACTCACCAGCACATCTTGCCAATGGGTAGTGGGCGAGTACATTTTTTGAGCCCTGGGTGGACTTTATTTGGTTACAAAACCCAAGTAACAGAAATACTCAAACAACAATAGGAATATATTGCAGGCATCCATACCAGAACAATAATCTCTTAAAGCTGCAACATCGGCTGGGTCAATAGTAACAGTGGATCATTTTCACTATCCCAATATTTAACTAGTTAATGCACATCTGGAACAGTTTGAAGAAGCAACTTGATGCCATATACAACTGCAGGTTAGAGCAGTTTGAGCACCTTCATGGAAGGAAAGGATGCTAGATCTGAATTCCCCCATGAAGAAAGTGCAGGAGCTCTACAGTCATCATGGCACAGCTAGGTTAGACTTCACAGCAGAGGACAAGTCCCTTAGGGGTAACAGTGATCAACTTTAAGGGTCTGACCATCCATGGTGCCAATCACCCTTAGGTCCCATTGATGCCACTGCAGACAAGGGTTGACTATCAATCTATGAATTGTAAGGTCTTCAGGGCTGGGACTGTCTTTTCATTCATGTTTATACAGACTAGGAGCCCATTGTGCTGGGCGCTATGACTAGCGCTCCTAAGTGCTATAGTAATACAATCAAATAAGAATGGCTGCAAGCACATGCAAAGAAAGAGGTAAAAAACCTTGCACCACACAGCCCCCCAAGTGAATTATCTGTCTTCTTCAGAAATCTTTCAGAGACAAGAACGCCCGCAGGACTTTGATCAAAAAAAAAAGGAAAAAGGGAAGAGTAAGTCACAGGCTATGCAGAGAAGTTACATGAGGTTCAGGGGGAAATAGAATGTTTTAAACAGTTCAAGTACCGGCCAAACAACATAAACAGATTTGAATATAAACTGCCAGGCAGGATGGCAGTTATAAATGTAGAAGACACACACAAAGACAATTGCAGTATATGAAGGACAGAAATATGAAGATAAATCACAAATCCATTCAATACATTAGAAGCACAAATGCTGCCATGAAGACTGGGGAGCCCTCCAGACCACCAAGGGGAGAGGGGCCAGCAACAGAATGAGGAAGCAGAAAAGAAATTAAATCCGTATCAGTCTTTAGTACTGAAAACTATAGGAACATTCCGATTCTGAAGATTCTTTTAAAATAGGAACACAGAATGCAGGCTTGATACATTTTAGTCTTTATGGAAGAAGTTATGGAGCAACCTGAGAAACTCAAGTGCAGTCAATTATTGGTATGGGAAGGCATTCATCCCAGGGGCTCTAAAGTGAGTAAGTGTGAAGATACTGAGGACAGAAAAATATATATCCTTAGAAACACAACTGCCCCTGCAGATTAAAAAGCCAGTGGTGGTAGTGGCAAGGAAGGTCTGGGGAATCACAGATGGATGAGCATCACTTCGAGAGGTTAGGCGATTAGAACATGAGTAAAAAGAACCTGATAGGTCAAACCAACAAGCCTCACAAACCCGCTTGAGGGTTTAAAAAAAAAAGTTAAAGGGATGTTCGCACGTAGAATTTGCTTAAACTATTTTTGTCTCTAATTCTAGCTACCAAATAAAGCACCTTCTAAACAGCGTGGCTGGGTTGTCTTTTAATTCTTTTTAAAAATATGAAAGGGGTTTTCTGCCTTCCCTGCTGATGTTTACAGAGTGTTTCCAGCAAGAGAGAGTGAGATGACCTGAGAGCAACACCAAATTGTTAGCTTCCTTTATGAGACAAGAAGTGCAAACAATCATCAACATAACAGCAACACTGACCACAAGTTTAACCTACTTTTCAATGACTTTTCTCTTAGAACATAAGAATGGCCCTACTGGGTCACACCAAAGGTCCATCTAGCCCAGTATCCTGTCTTCCAACAGTGGCCAATGCCAGGTGCCCCAGAAGGCATGAACAGAACAGGTAATCATCAAGTGATCCATCCCATCACTCATTCCCAGCTTCTGGCAAACAGAGGCTAGGGACACCATTCTTATGTTCCCTAGGAGGCCCTGGGACCTCTTCCCCTTCCTGTCTATTGCCAGGAGAGCTGGGCCCCCTGTGTACCTCTCTCATTGCACCCTTGATCCCACCCCTAAAGAGGAGGAAGAGGATTGGTCCTAGAAAAGCTGTCCTCTGGTGCCACCTAGGGCCATTAATTACATTGGCCAGTCACAGGTCTGCACCTCCTTCCTGGGATGACCTTCCTCCTTTTCTCCCTCCTCTGTCACATTCCATCTCTCCTCCTTCACTGTCTCCTCTTGCCCCTCTGGCTTCTTCTCCCACGCAGAGTGCGCAGTGAGGGTCTGACAAAAGCTGCACCGATTGTCAGTGGGGCTTGGGCACTGGAGTCACTGCCCAAGCCACTGGCTGCATGTGGCACTCTAACTGCCCTGTCTGGACCCTGCTGGCATACTCTAGGTACCTAAAGCACATTGACTTAGTCCAACAGGGGCCACAGGGCAGTGAGACTGCAACACGCAGCCTGTTGCTTGGGCGGTGAAACTCAGCAGTGCCCCAACCCATTCAAAATCACCACGGCTTGCCTCCTACCAGACCCTCACTGCACAGTCTGTGCATGTGCCACAGGGGCAGTGGAGATGAATGCCCCCGTAGGTGCAACGCTATTTGCTATGTTCATCAGACCCGAGTGATAGCGAGTGGTACACGTGTGCGCGCCTGCAAAATTAGATTTTAAGACAGAATTAGCAATTTCGTAATTACAGGTAAAATATCAGGAGGATTACTGAAAATGAGGGAGAGTTGTCATCTCTGCTACAGCAGGTAAAAATAGATTCAGACAAAAGTATATTTTTCGAAGTTGACCGTGCATCCTTCATAAAAACAGAATAGTGACCCAGTGGCCATAATTTACTTGGTGTTTTTGACACAGTCCTTCAAAAGATTATGGAAAACAACAATGGGGTAGGAGGCAAAGTCATTGCATGGATTAAAAATTAGTTAAGCGTTAAGGACCAATCTTAGTGATCAGCAGTTTCTCAGCATGATAACAGAGGCTGCCCCAAGGATTAATACAAGGAACAGCATATTATTTAATAATTTGGCACGAGAAATGGGCAGTGAACTGGTGAAGCCAATGCATGGCACTAAAGTTAGTCTACTCTAGAATCTTTTGTACCTTTTCCCAAGCAATGGTGTAACCACAGAGCTCAAGAGTTTTGCCAATGTGTCATGTAAACACTGCGGTCCAGAGAAAAGCAAGATAAACAGTTGGAGATTTGGGCAGGAGATGCAGAAGGTGAAAGTTAGCAAAATCTAGGAGTAGTTTACCCTGTAAAAGGAGAAGAGTTAGAAGGCACCTGACTGAAATTCTCTTACCTTCTCCCACAGCATGAGAAGAAAGGGGGCATTTGTTCTAAATGCACTGCCTTTTATACCACAAGGGGTCAAGACAATTGCTGTGATCAAATAATTTTATGACCATGAACACATGTACCTATACAAAATAAGACAATGAGAGGTGTAATCAGATCACAGACTTTAGGGCGCAACCCGATCTTCTGCAAGAGTCGGGCAGGAGCATCCCCTATTGAGAACACCATTGCACAAATGGTCAGACACATGATGGCTTTCACCCCTCCCACCTTTCAGCATGCAGCATTGGCCAAAGACAGCATAAAGCACTTCATGAACAAACTGATATAATCTTCTGTGGGCTAAAAAGGATTGGGAGATGTGGGCTGGATCAAGGGAGCCTCTCTTTACCCTTAGCGGAACAAAACAAAGCACCTGAAGAAACTGAATGGCAGTACATTTAGAAGCAATAAAAGGCAGTGCTGGTTAAGGACTTAATTAAGACAAAGGTCTCTTACTAGAGGATTCTCTGCACCTTGAAGTCTTTAAACCACGATTTGAGGACTTCAATAGCTCAGACATAGGTTAGGGGTTTGATACAGGAATGGGTGGGTAA